GCACCTCAGGTTCGAACCTGGGCCTCCTCTACAGTCCAGTTTTGAGATTTGACCTATGGGGCATGATGGTGCATGCCTGAGGTCCCAGCCCTTGGGCGGTGGAGGCAGAAAGATCAGAAATTCAGGGACAGCCTGGGCTACAAGAGATCCTATCTCAAAAACAAACAAACCCAAATTTGACCTTCTGATTCTGCCTGTCTCTACCCACATGAAAACAAGGCAGCCTGTTTGCTAATCTTCTGACTCATGTATTTGGAAGGATTTCTGATAATGTTGCAATTTCTAAGGGAAAGGTCGGGGAGAGTATAAGGACTCAGGCATTATGCTGGCCTGCCCCTGTCACCTAGAGAATGCATGATTGCATAGTCTGCAGGCAGGTACAGAGGACCCCTTTAAAAGAAAGAACTCATCTGCCTTTAATCCCAGCACTCGGGAGGCAGAGGCAGGTGGATCTCTGTGAGTTCGAGGCCAGCCTGGTCTCCAGAGCGAGTGCCAGGATAGGCTCCAAAGCTACACAGAGAAACCCTGTCTCGAAAAACCAAAAAAAAAAAAAAAAAAAAAAAAAAAAAAAAAAAAAGACCCCTCCCCCCCATTTGCGGCCTGCCTTTAGTCCCAGCACTCGGGAGGCAGAGGCAGTCAGATCTCTGTGAGTTCCAGACCAGCCTAGTCTACAAGAGCTAGTTCCAGGACATCCTCCAAAGCCACAAAGAAGCCCTGTCCCGAAAAACCAAACAAAAGAGAAAAAAAAAAAAGAAAAGGAAGAAGAAAACCCCAAAATAAAACAAAAGAAAGACCCCTGCCCACTTAAGCTCTCTTTCCCACAGTTCCCCTGGGGCAGACAGGTCTCTTCTGTCCTCTCTCTGTGTCTCTTTACCTCTTTTCTCTTTCCTGCCCCCTCCCTCCCCTTTCTAATAAAACTTCTCACTAAGCTCTGTCTGCCTGGCATGTTTGTCCCTCTGCCTTGGTCACCCTCGCCTGCCATGGAACCCGCCAAGGTCCCCCATACAAGGTTCCCCTTGTGTTTAATCATAATAGAGGAAACGAAAGTCAAACCACACTACAGCCCCCCCACCCGTTTCATTAGATAGAGTAGGGCTTCCTTGTTCTTACTGCAGAGTCCGATGGGCAGGCCAGCTAAGGGTCATTAGTGATTAAGCAAGGCTGGCACCATCAGGGACAGACTCTTGTGTTAATTCCCCTTCAAGTGTCCTTTATTTTCACTTAAAATTTTATGTTGCAAGCTGAGCACGCCTAGAGTCATTTCTGTCCATTGCTTCTCCATATGTGCACCCCCAATGTGTCTAGATTTTCACTTTAGATTATGACTTGAGCTTGCTCAGAATGACTTAACAGTGTTCATATGTACATAGCATACATGTGTGCTTATGTACACTGTGCATAGGCCCCATTTGCTCTCCTTGAGTGTACATTTCTCTCCACTCTTTTACATCGTGCCTGGTTTTGGGTTGGCACTCACCAAGACACCAGGAGTCCACCAGGAGTTCAGTTATAGGGTCTCTCTGAATTCCACTCACTCAAAAGGCCACACTCACGTTTGTAGTTTTTCTCTATTTGTCTAAATTTGTTTGTTTGGTTTTTGTTGTTGTTGTTTGTTTTTTGTTTTTGTTTTTTTGTTTTTGAGACTAGGCTCATGTAGCCTAGGCTAGCCTTCAATATACAATGTAGCCAAGACTAGCCTTGAACTCCAGATCCTTGCTTCCAATCCCAAGGAGCTGGGATAACAGGTAACACCACCATGCCTGACTTCAAGAATTATTTTTGTTGATTATCTGAAGCTCAAGTTCAGCATTAACTGAGAGTCTTTTCTTGTTGTTTTTTTTTTGGGGGGAGGGGTTGGGAGGTTTTGAGACATGGTTTCTTGTAGCCACAGCTGGCCTCAAACTCACTTTGTGGAGGACAGCCTCGAACTCCTAATCCTTTTGCCTCTATTTCCCAAATCTGGGGTTATGGGTGTGTGCCACCATGCCTAGCTCAGGCTCAATAATTTTTGAGCCGTTCCTGTGACTTTCCCAAGAAGAAGCAGCAGAGTTTGGTTTTGATAATTGGAGGTCTCGATACGCCTCACTCACAGGTGATTATGAGCAGGTGTTTAAATCCTGGGCCAGGTTCAAAACACAGTCCTGAATGGCCAGTAACATACCAGTCCTTACTGGGCCCTGACAAAGTCAGTCCTCGGAAAGACAGTGGGTTAGAGTTGAAGCAGCGCACTGCCCTTAAATGGCAAGGTAATGTGAGGGATCACAAGATGATGAGGGACTCAGTACAAGGGGAAAAAATAAAAGGAAGCAAACCCCAGCGTGGTGGGAAGGAATGCTTTCCAGAGGCCTTGCTTCTCCATAGCTGGGCACGGGTCAGATCCTTACAGGAGCTGCAAGGCTGAGTCTGGTGCCGGAAGGTAGGCTTCAAAAGGAGGCCTCCATTATCTTCCCTAGCTGCTCACCTCGTCCCTTCTAAGTCCCTGGCATCCCCAGGTAAAGGCTGTTCTTCACACCCACCCACCACCCACCCCCGCTCCCCTAACATGACCCTCTCCTCTAGCAAGACCCAGACATTCTTTCACTTGGAACAAGTTACTTTATTCAGTGTGAAAGGGTTTGGTAAAGGCCACTCACCACACAGAACAGAAGTGCAGCAGGAAGGTAGGTGCATGGGGGCAGCAGGGGAAAACACAGACTGAAGGAATCATAGGTGCCAACGGGCTGTGGGGACCTGCTGAGGAGAAAGCCTGCCTCTTCAGTGTTGTCTCTGGAAACCATTTCCTTACCATAAACTGTAGTTTACACAAGTAGAAACCAGGTTAACTAACGCCTTTTGGTTTGAGGCTCTTTTTATTGGTGTTTAGTTGTTGCTGTTGCTGAGACAGGGTCTCTCTTTGTAGTCCTGGCTATCCTGAAACTCACTGCGTAGCTCAGGCGGCCCTCACTCGTACATTCTTTTTGTTTGAAGCTCCTAAATTACTGGGATTACAGGTATGAGCCACCTGTAGCCTGCATCAGGACTTTCTTTTTTTATGGCTGAATATTTCTCCATATGAATATAGAACGCATTTGCATTTGGACATTTGGGTTATTGGCATACGTCTGACTTTAGCTATTATGAGTGAAGCTACTGTGGACATCCAAGTCCCAGTGCTTGTGTGGGCAGGCATCTTCAGTGCACTTTCATCAAGCAGAGGGAGGGATTGCTGGCTCACTTGGTAAGTGGATGTTTAGGCACAGGGCAGTATCACACTATTTCCCAGAACGGTTTCACCATTGTGTTCTCACAGCAACACAGCACGTGGGACCATTTCTGATGCTCCTCATCCTCGCCCACATTTATAAACGCTAACAAGGCTGCATGTCATTGGTGGTACACTCCCAAAGGCAGAGGCAGGCTGATCTCTGTGAGTTCAAGGCCAGCTTGGGCTACATAATGAGGTCCAGGTTAGCCAGGGCTACACAGTGAGATCCTGTCTCAAATAAAACATAACCAAATCAAACCTCTAACAATTGTAGGGGTTATATAGTCAGTCAGTCTCTCCCTCTCTCTCTCCCTCCCCCAGACTAGCATTAAACTCCTGGGCTCCTGTGGTCTTCCTCCTCCTGCCTCATCTTCCCACATACCTGGACTGCAGGCATGCACAGTCACACTGGCTTGGGTCACTGAGGTCTTCCTTTTCTCTACAGCGCTCTGGAATTTTTGTCATATGCACAGTCTGTACACATTATTAAATATATCCATAGATATTTTTGTCTTGAGCTATTGCGGATAACTTTTACATTAAAATTTTCAACTTGGCATTGCCTGTGTATAGGGATAGAATACAGTATTAATGCTTTATTGTATGTCCTTGCTAAACTCACCTATAGTAACTTTTAATAGATTACTTAGGATTTTCTACATATATAGCCAGATTATCTTTGAATAGTGTTACTTCCTGTTTATGGTGGTTCCCCCCCCCCCCTTTGGTTTTTTCAAGACAGGGTTTCTCTGTGTAACAGTCCTGGCTGTCTTGGAACTTTCTTTGTAGACCAGACTGGCCTTGAACTCACAGAGATCCGTCTGCCTCTGTCTCCTGAGTGCTGGGACTAAAGGCGTGCGGCACCACTGGGCAGTGGGTTTTTGTTTGTTTCTTTGTTTATCTTATTACACTGGACAAGCAATAAGAGCACCACTGACGGACAGGTGTGTTGGCACATGCCTTTCTTTGATCCTAGCACTCAGAAGACAGAGGCTGACATATCTGAGTTTGAGAGCTTGGTCTACACAGTGAGTTCCAGACCAGCCAAGGTTACACAGTGAGACTCTGTCTCAAAAAAACAAAAACAAAAACAAACGACAACATCAAAAGAATACCAGCGGTGGTGGCTCATGCCTTTAATCCCAGCAGCAGAGGGAGGCAGAGACAGGCAGCTCTGTGAGTTCGAGGGCAGCCTGTTCTACAGAGTGAGTTCCAGGACAGCCAGAGATACACAGAGAAACCCTGTCTCAAAAAAACAAAATAAGAAAAAAAGAAAGGAAGGAAGGAAGAAAAGGAAAGAGAGGGAGAGGGAGAGAGAGTTGTTCTCTGGGGTTGTAGGGATGGCTCGGTGGTTAACAGCACTGGCTGCTCTTTCAGAGTTTCAATTCTCAGCCCCACATGACGGCTCACAACCATCTATAAGCGTCGTCTTATAGGATCAGATGATCTCTTCTGGTGTGCAGACAGATGGACATGTAGACAGAACACCCATATACATCAAATAAGTAAATCTTAAAAAAAGAAAGAAAATTGTCGTCTAACTTCCACATGTGATGTGTGACATGAATGTCCCCATGCGAGTGTGTGCGCACGCTCACACACACACACACACACACACACTAAAATGTAATAAGAATTTAAAAGAAAAATGTGATGCACTGCAGAAATGTGTATGGTTGAAGCTTGTCAGAAAATGGAGGATGTAACTCTGGCCTCTGAAGGTTCGAAAGGGTTTGAAAGGCAGTGTGTTGTAACATCACCTCAGCTGTCCCTGATATGACCTGTTCCCAGAAGCCTCTCCATCTATCTCCTGTTGGGGATTCCCACCCTAACCCTGCTGTGGCGCTCTCCCATCATTCCAGGATGCTGTCCTTTCCCCGTGTGATGGCCTGCTCACGGACCTGCTCCCGCTTCCTCGGGCTGAGCCTCGGGACCGCATCCCTGTTTGCTGCTGGGGCCAACATCGCACTCCTCTTTCCTAACTGGGATATGACCTACCTGACGAGGGGCCTCATTGGCAAGCATGCCATGCTGGGCTCTGGGCTCTGGGGAGGAGGCTTCATGGTACGTGTCTTGGGTTCCATGAGTGGGAATTCCCACTAGGAGGTGGTGGTGGTTGGGGTGTTCCAACAAATTGGTATTAGGTCCACAAACAGCCCAAGGAATAGGGGGACTTACCATGGGTTGCTGCATTTTAGATTAGAACCAGGAAGGCTAGATGGATCTTAGCACCTACAGAGTCAAGACACGCTAAGTTCAACCCGGGCCCTACGCCCATCTCAAGAGCTGTGTGGGGCAGCTAGAAATGACAATCACCCGGTCTCTTCTTCCGGATTTATTTGTTTTTGTGTGGATGGGTGTTTGACAGTTTGTGTATACACACATGTACCATGTGGGTACGGGAACCTTCGGAGGCCAGAAGAGGGTGTCGGATTCCCTGGAACTGGACTGACAGAGATTGTAGGCCACCGGGTGTGCTGGAAACCAGACCTGGGTCTTCTAAAAGAGCTCTTAACTGCTGAGCCATCTCTCCAGCTCCCACTTAGTCTCCTCTTAACACACGTCTCTGCTCTCCAGGTATTGGTGGCAGCGGCTCTCATCTCCATGACAGGCTACTTCAGTAAGAGCGCTCCCTGTCTGTGTGTAAGTACCCTGCCCCCAACACAACTCTGACATTCTCTACTTGAGGCAGAGGGCTCGAGGGGCAAGTTTAGTTTTCAGTCTTGAAGTCACTTCCTAACTATACCCTTTAACAACCCCTTCCTGCCGTTTATGCTTGATTTGAAAAGGAGAGATCAAGAATGGGAATTTGGGGGCTGTGAAACCAATAGCTTGTCATTAGAGGAGAAACGTGGACATACAACGATCAGTTTTCTAGTTCAGAGCTGAGACACTGCAGTAGACTAGCAAGGGGGTATCAACCTGCTGGAGGGTCCAAAGACCCCGTGCAGTGAGGACATGCAGGCCCATGTGTCTGTCTGTCTTTCTAGCCTTTCTCAACAGTTCCTTCTTGACTCTACCCAGGACAGATACCTTATCAGCCACCATTGGACATGTTTTAAAGGAATGTGTCACTCTGCCCCTCCCTGCTCCTCCGATCCCTCCCATGATAGGGTGGGAGAATGCCTGGCCACTAGAGAAGTTAGATTTGGCCATGTCACACAACCAGCCCCAGCCCCCTGACCATAGCTCTAGGTAACCTCTGTCTTCTGCCTCCATTATAGATGCTTATCGCTCTGTTATCAAGTGGCCTGGCTCTACTTGGGGCCTTGGTTTGCTTTGTCACTTCTGGAGTAGCCTTGAAAGATGGCCCCTTTTGCATGTTTGACATCTCATCCTTCAATCAGACACAAGCTTGGAAATTTGGCTATCCCTTCAAAGACCTGCCCAACAGGTAACGGTAACCCTCACAACTACAATCCCGTGACCTGGGCCAATGGAGCACCCACCCCGTGTTTTTCTATCGCAGTCCCTTGATTGGCTATTTTTGTTTATTCCCCACCCCTGACATCCTTGCTATCGGGGCTAGGAATTATTTGTACGACCGCTCACTCTGGACCTCCGTCTGCCTGGAGCCCTCTGAGGCTGTGGTGTGGCATGTGGCCTTCTTCTCCACACTGTTGTGTATCAGCCTCCTCCAGTTTCTCCTGGTGGCCATCCATTTCATCAATAGCATCCTCGGCCTGTTGTGCAGCTTTTGTGAAAAGAGCTAGGTAATGGATGTCCTTTCATGCTGTATTGCTGTTCTCACTGCAAGGACAGGGCGTGGATCCCTGTTATGCCTTCCTATATGCTACCAGCACTTTCTTGACTGTGGGAGAATGGTGCAATAAAATGAAACTCACACTATGTACTTTGAAGGTTACCCAGGGATAAGAAAGAGCAGGGAAGTCATTACTAGTGTATTGGGAGGAGCTTTTAACTTGTAAAATGATTTTGTTTCAGCCTCTTGACAGTCCCAGAAAAGCTGGCCATGTGTTAAGACAGAGAATCTGAGACTCCCCAATCTCAGACACATGGCTAGGTGACCCCCTAAATTCTAAATTCAAGTTTACCATTGTAATAGAACTATGTTTCCTCAAAACCATAGGCAGGGACCCTTATCACCGTTGTGACTGTATGGGAGACAGGGCCTTACATGGTAGTCGGGGATACAGGAAGTCATAAACGTGAGGTCCTGATCCAGTAAGATTGACGCTCTTACAAGAAGAATGAGAGGCTGAGTATGGTGGTGCACACCTGAGATCGTCAGTTCTAGACCAGCTTGGGCTACATATTGAGACCCTGTCTCAAAATAATAGGGCTGAGGATGCTTACTGTTATAACATAAGCAGAGTTCTGGGGTCAGTCTCCAGTACTGGAAAGGGGAGGGAGGGAGGAAGGGATTCCATGAAAGAAAGTTACAGATCACCATGCTGGGTTTTTTTTTTTTTATCAGCTGCTGATTAAGAGCAGGCAAGAGCCTCAGAAAAGCTCTTGGTAGCGAAGATGCACAGTAGGGTTCTTAAAGTCTAAGGGCTGCAATCACATCCCACCAAGTGTAGGCTGAGGGCTGGTTTTTAAATGATGGACCCTTTTCCAGAAGGAAGGGAGGAGCCCTCTGATCTGTAAAACATACAGGTGTCAATTCTCAGAGAAACAGTTTCATGGAATCTGTCTGTCTCCCTGCAGGAAGAAGGAACCTTTGACCTATAAAACACCTTGAACATCCTTTTTGAAAAGGAGGGAGAAAACTTTTGTTTACATGCAAGATGAGGCTCCAGAGAGGAGGTGGGGGCTTATGGTAAGAGGAACTGATGAACGTGGCTCCCTGGGTAAAGATGCCTGTTGCTAAACCGGAGGACCTGAGGACCTGAGGCTTAACCCCCAGAATCCATCTGGTAGAACAGATTCTGTAGATTGGTGTGCATGCCCACATGGTAACTCACAACCATCCCTAAGTCCAATTTCAAGGAATCTCACACCCTCTTCTGGCCTCTGTAGATGCATGCAAGTACAAAGACATACATACAGGCCAAACATCCATATACACAAATAAAGTAAAACAAGTTGTTTTTGTTTGGGGGGTAAGAGTTGTGAATGTGAGCCACAGAGCATGTGCATGCTTGTGTGTGTGTTGTTGATGGAAGTTTCTGTCCTGCCCAGTCCCGCAGCCATTTAGTCCTAAATAAACACACAGAAGCTAATATTAATTATAAACTGTTTGGCTTGGGGGATGGAGAGATGGCTCAGGGGTTAAGAGCACTGACTGTTCTTCCAGAGGTCCTGAGTTCTATTCCCAGCAACCACATGGTGGCTCACAACCATCTGTAATGGATCTGGTACCCTCTTCTGGCATGCACTGTAACATGATAAATAAATAAATCTTTTTAAAAAAAATAAATAAAATAAACTGGCCGATGGCTTAGGCTTCTTATTGGCTAGCTCTCTCTTATTAGCCCATTTCTAATAATCTGTGTATCTCCACATGGTCTTTGTTTACCAAAGAATGCCTACTACCTTTCTCTATCCCTGTTTGGATTTTCTGCCTGGCTATATCCTGCCTGTCCATTGACTGAAACAGCTTTATTCATCTACCAATAAGAGAAACATAGGTGGTGGTGGTGGTGGTGGTGGTGATGGTGGTGAGACATCCAGATCTCATTTGTTACATGAGAACAAAGAAAAGGCCACTTAAGGACCGAGCCAGCCAACCATCTGCAACCCAGAGAGAGGGGCCCCCATAGAAATCAAATCCACTGTTACCTTGATCTTTAATTTCTAGCTTACCGAACTGTGAGAGAATATGAATTCATACTTATAACACCAGCACTCGGGAGCCTGAGGCAGGAGAATCATGACTGAATAGAGAGACCTTGTCTCAACAACAGCAACATCACAGGCTTCTGCTGACTAGTCCTCCCAGGCAGAGGAAATCTTTTGCAGTGATCTAGGTTCTGTTGGAAGATCCCCTTCAACTCCCACTCCTCCCTCTCCAAACCCTGCCCCTCAGAAAGCCTGCCAAAAGGCAGCTCCTCCCCCAAGCTCAAGACCTCACTTACAGGGTATTTAAGACCCGGTCCCTAGACCCGAGGGGTGATTTCTCCTCTTCCTTACCTGGAGATCACCTGGGGGTGTTTTGCTTGGATTAAACCTGATTTTATTAATCCGGCCTGACTTGGCTTCTTGTATCAGCAGAGAAAACCCCTACCTGGGCCCAAAATTACTTATCAGTCTACACTAGAGTTCAACAAATCGTGTGTTCTGAGTACCCAGGGTATACCTGCACTGCTGCACACGCGGTAACTCCAATCCAGAGGTGCCCAAGACAAGCTTCTCTCTCTGGTCTCTGCCCTGCCCTTCAGACTGATGATCCACTTATCATAATTTGGACATTATATGGTAAGAATTATGTGAGCACTGGGCAGTGGTGATGCCTGCTTTTAATCCCAGCACTCAGGAGTCAGAGGCAGGTGGATTCAGCCTGGTCTACAGAGTTAGTTCTAGGCAACCAAGTCTACACAAGGAAACCCTGTCTCAAGAAAACCAAACCAAACAAACAAAAGAACAAAAGAACTATGTTAGCATTCAACACAGGTGCCAAAGAGCTCAGGGGAGCAGTGAACTTCAGAGAAAACCTAAGGAAGGCTTTGGTTATGTCTGAGCTGATGGAACTTGGAAGTTAGTCCAGCAAAGAGGAGTGAGAGGGTGTCTTAGTTATTTCTCTACTGTTGTGAAGATATGCCATGACAAACTCAATTTATAAAGTAAAAGTTTACTGAGGCTTACGGTTACAGAGAATGAGCCCATGATCACCATGACAGAGAGCGTGGCAGCAGGCAGGCAGGCATGGTGCTGGAGCAGTAGCTGAGAGCTTTCTATCTTATCTGAAAGTCTGGAGGCAGAGAGAAAGAGACTGTGCCTGTCATGAGCTTTTGAAACCTCAAAGCCTGCCTCCAGTAACTCACCTCCTCCAACAGTGGCATGCCTCCTAATCCTTCCTAAACAGTTCACCAATTTCAGACTAACATTCAAATATATGAGCCTAAGGGGGCCATTCTCACCCAAACTATCACAGTGTCAGACAGATATCAAGCTTGTCAATGGATGAAAGGCTCAAGCCAGAAACAGAGCTGGTGCTGTTGAGCCAAGGGGCAGCTACAGAGGCTGTGAGCATTGAGCTGATGTGGACTGTGTACCCTGCCATATGGTCTTTCTCCACAGCCTCAGTGTGTGGGCCGGTTCCAGGAGAAAGGTATAACAAGCCAGTCAGATTTTGAAGAATGCCAGAGGGCAGCCAAAGGAACCACTGAGAGATTTCAAGCATGGAACACAGGAAAGCCACTCTGTGAAGGATGGTCAGGGAAAGTGGGTTTGGTTGTTAGAACCAAGGAGACCAATCTAGTCCTCCCTGAATGAGGCTTTTGTTTTGTTTGAGATAGAGTTTCATACAGCTCAAGCTGGCCTCAAACTCACCATGTAGCAGGGGATGGTCTTATATTCCTGATCCTCCTGCCTCCACCTCCCAAATGTGCCACCATGTCTGGCTGAAGAAGGTACATTCTGAACCAAAAACTGAATAGTAAAATTTGTCTATAATGGAACTAGTAATGGGGTATTTCCCTAGCAACTACCCCTTCTGAACATCATAGAAGACATTTTGGAACTCTTAAATAAAATCAAGTTGAAGGTTACAAAAGAAGCTTGGATGGACACCAGAGGAAATTCTTTCTCTTAGTTTTTAAATCGTGTGTGTGTGTGTGTGTGTGTGTGTGTGTGTGTGTGTGTGTGTGTGTGTGTTGTGTGTCTGTGTCTGTGTCTATATGCACATGACTGCAGGTGACCTCAGAGACCAGAGCATTGGATCTCCTCTCGAGCTGGAGTTGCAGACAATTGTAAGCTGCCTGATTTGAGTCCTGGGAACCCAACTCAGGTCCTCTGCAAGAACAGTAAGTGCTTTTAACTACTGAGCCATCTCTCCATCCCTCTTAGTTTTTGAATAAGGAAGAGGTCAGGATCTACAGCCTTCTAAAACAGGATCCAGGGCTGGAAGCCTGGAAGCAGCCTAGCCTTCTCCTTGTAGGGAGTAATCTTGTTTAGAGGTACCGCTGATCATGCCCACTTTTGCGTGGTCAGAGTGATATAGCAAGGGTTTAAGTATCAGAGAGGCATGCACTCGGTTCTCTTTCTCTCTCCTGCCTGGCTGAGCAGACATCTGCGGTCACTCCAGCTCCGGTGTGAACCTGGTCACTGGCCCTTGTGTGATGACTATCTCTTTAATAACCCACCTGCTGTCAATCTAGTTCTGACTCCATTGTGTTTGGCATTAGCTCCTTCCTGACTTGTGCCCCAGAGCGGGTGTGGATCAGATGCAGCAGGATGACCCAGGCTGTCATTAGGGATTGGAACTGTGCTCTGCAAACTTGTTGTTTAAGGGGAAGACGACATTTTAGGTGTTGAGGGTCACACAGTCCTTGTGTAACTGCTCATGTCTGCCTATTCAGGATAAAAGCAACTGGGAAGATGTCAATGAGTGTGTTTTGTTCCAGTGTGACTTTGTACATGGAAGAAGTTTTGAAAATTTTTAATGAAAGTTTTGGGTAAAGCTTTTAATTTCTGAGCCAGGTGGTGGTGACACATGCCTTTAACAGTACTTGGGAGGAAGAGGCAGGTTGATATCCGAGTTGGAGACCAGACTGGTCTACAGAGCGAGTTCCAGGACAGTCAGTGTTAGTATTCAGGCATCTGTTCTGGTCTGTCTTTTGGGATTCTGACAGCATATGCTCTCAGCTGCAGCCATTAAGAGCACCACCTATGTTCACTATGTTCCCTTTAAAAGGGCCCCGTCCACCTCCCATCCTCCTCTCCCTCTCTCTGTCTCTCTCTCTCTGTCTGATCCTCTCCCCCCCTCCTCTTTCCTGCTGCTTCCCCAGAGGCCTCTTTTTATCATCTCTTTCCCTAATGAAAAAAACAAAACAAAACAAAAAAACCTCTGCTTTCACCCTGTCGCATGGCATCTTTTTCACTCCACTTTTCTTAAATTACAACAGCCAGGACTACACAGAGAAACCCTGTCTTGAAAAACCAAAACAGCTGGGCGTTGGTGGCGCACGCCTTTAATCCCAGCACTCAGGAGGCAGAGGCAGGTGGATCTCTGTGAGTTGGAGACCAGCCTGGTCTACAAGAGCTAGTTCCAGGACAGCCTCCAAAGCCACAGAGAAACCCTGTCTCGAAAAAAAAAACAAAAAAAAAAAAAAAGAAAAACCAAAACAAACAAACAAAAAAGCACTGTCAATTTCTGTAATCTTCACTTCTCACAAAATACCATTTATTCTTTGGGTTTTGTTCTGAAATGGTCTCACTCTTAGTCCTGGCTGGCCTCCTACCTCAACCTCCTGACACTGGATTTATAGCAATGTGCCAACACACCACGTTTTGTTTTTCTTTGGACTTTACAGTTATTACAAAAATATAAAATTGGGATAGTGGTGATGCCTGTAATCCCAGCACTCTGGACACTAAGGTGGAGTTGCAGGCTACCTATCAAAACCTTGTCTCAACTGATGGGAAGGCCCTATTGCTGAATATGGAAAACTCAAGCTGGTGCCTAACTAGAGGCTTCACCCCTACTACCCAGCCTTCGTGGTACTGAAAGGTGTTCTGAACACTACCTGGGCCTCCAATAGTGACTTGCCTGGAAGATAAGGTGGAGCAATAGTGGTACAAATGTTGGGAGTGTAATCAACCACTTTCTGATTAGATTTAAGGCTTACTCCATGAGATGGAACCCATGCCTGATACGACTAGGATGGCCAAGAACCTAAAACTGGATAGGCCATGGGTCTAGGGGAAAACCAAATACTATTAGTTTTGTTAAAAGAACACTGCGATAAAATGACCCCTAATGGCGTTCTGTTATACCTATATATCAGCATCTTGCTCAGCCATCATCTGAGAAGTTTCTTCTTGTAGATGGGAACTAATAGAGACCCCACTTGGACAGTGTGCAGAGTGAGACTTCAAAGTCCTAAATGGCATGTCTTCATCAGACTCCTCCCCTCAGGGCTTGGGGAATCTATTCTGAAGAGGAGGTGGGAAGGCTATAGAGCCAGGGGTGATGGGTGACACACATGAACTCACAGAGACTGTGGCAGCATGCACAAGACCTGCGAAGCTTCAAGCTAGACAGGGTGCCAGCTCTGAAAGGTAAACATGAACGCA